AATATATAAGTAGGAAGAAGTCATATGTAATATTTTTAGATTTTGAAATGTGTATAAATTTACTTGTATAATTAGTACCTGACAACAATCAACTCATTCTTATTTACTCCGCATTCTCCCATTTTTATTGGAAATTTGCCTGGTTTTTTTATGGCTAAAAGTCTACAACTTTATCTTTAGCACTTGCACTTTGAGTCTGAGTTTTCTGGGATTAACAAATCAGTGCTTGTAATGTTAAACGTACAGATATAAGGTTGATCTGTTGTTGTTATGGTATATTTGCCTTTTACTAACCATAATTCTATGCGGTGTTTAATTACTTGTATCCCATGCAAAACGTTTCGATGTTGAATCCTAAATATGGAATCTGGTAGGCAATGAAGCTACTTGAGAAATCAACTGATTCGGTCCCTGTTATTTTTCTCGTTACTGATGGGGCCGTTGAGGATGAGAGAGAGATTTGCAATTTTGTGAAAAGCTATGTCTCAAGTGGGCAATCAGTTCCAACACCGCGCATATGTACCTTTGGCATAGGCAAGATTTCTAGCTTCGGCTTCTATATATGCTCTTCAGAAAACAGTTTCTGGTATATCATTAATTGGCAATGTTCATCAGACACTTCAATCTGTGATAAGTTTGTTACTTTAGCTGATGTTTTAAGTAGCCAAAAATGTTTCTTTTTTGTGTGTGAAGATGAAACTGTTTTGAAACTTAATTTTGTATCTGTTTGGATAGAAATTAAAAGTGATTTTTAGAACTTGTCCGCTAGAAATATACAATTTTTATTTCAGCCAAGAAACTCTCACAAATACTTCTTGTTTTGCATCTTAGGCACGTTTTAAACTGAAGAATCGAATGCTTTGACATGCTGCTTAATTTGTCAAGATGAGTGTTTTATAAAATTAATCAAGAAGTACCCCATAAAAAGGGTTATGCAAATTTGGGTTGGTCGATATTGACAAGGTCTTGGTTTTGACCAACCGGTGGACTTTTATCCGTAGTTCATAGCCATTTTGACTGTTCTGCAAAGCGCTGACCTTGGAATGGGATTACCTCTCATCCACCAAAACTTTTTTTTTTGGGAGAGCTTTTCAATTACCAATTATTGGGCTTGTCACTATTATGATGTCAGTGTGCGAGAATATAGAATCTTCTATTTATCAACATTTCCTATTGCACGATATTCAGCATATATTTTTTATTTTTTGTTATTAATCTCTTTATTTGTTGCTAAACTTTTCCTTTTTAGTAATATTTCTGTTTCGTTATTTGAAAGTTCAGGTTTATATTGCAATCACTACTTCCTGCAATTGCTTGCACAAATTGGGAGAGGGCACTATGACTGTGCTCATGATTTGGGTAGGTTTCTTTCCTTGCCCTGTCAACCTCATCGCAACTTAAAGTTTCCGCAAATTTGAGATGTAAATTTGAAAAAAGAAATATTCTTATCATGGTTGAAGTCACCAAAGATGCTAATGAGTGTGTATAGACAGATCAACCACAAAAAAACATTGGAGACGATTTGGGGCTAATTCACGTGCAAAACTTGCTCAAAAGAATAGGATCGTCCAAAGTTCAGAAGGAGCATTTTGACTATGCTAACGGGACATCTTAGCTAACGTTAAAACTAGATAGATTGTAATACCATATTGATATTAGAAAAGGATTTCCCTAACTCATTTTCAGAAACTAGTTCGAGAGATTGAGCAAGGCTTAATCCATACATATATGAAGTTTTATTCATCTCCCTTTTTTTCATCTTTTCCAGATTCAATTGAATTTAGAATGCAAAGGCTTTTCAGTACAATTTCATCGGTTATAGTTGCTGATGTAACAATCGAAAGTTTAGAAGGTCTTGATTCACATGAGGTACATATCCAATTAAGCATTAACTTTAATTATCACTGGAAACGTGCTCTAATGGTTTATAGTTTACTTAATTTACGTGTTACATCCATCTGATGTTGAAACTGTATTCTGATTATATATTGCAGTTATTCCCGTCTCATATACAAGATATATCATCTGGAAGTCCGTTGATCCTATCAGGCAGATACAGTGGAACTTTCCCTGAATTAGTTAAAGTCTCTGGTACTTTGGCAGATATGACTAACTTCGTTGTAGACCTGAAAGTGAAAAGAGAGAAGGATATACAACTCAGTAACGTAATATCTCACTCCTAAGGCATAACTTACTCTTATTCTTCATATCTGATTGTGATTTTTCCCATCTTAGCAAATGGGAAGTGAATACTACCACGCAATGCAACTTATGCATAGCTTCTCCTGCATTGTATCACCGTATGTAATGCTGTGCTGCTATTACGTTGCCTTCACTCTTTAATGTTCACTCGACACTTTATTTGGGTTGGGTAGGCAGTTAGTGCATTAAAAGTGGATTGCTTTTTAGTCATCCTTTCACTGATCTATGTCGCATCTAAATATGAATTTCAATTCTTAATGCCTTGAATCATCTATCAGTCGAAACTTATACTGGTCCTGTGTCATCGGTTTCTTCCTTGGACACATGTGATATGCATTTCATATCATTGAGAAAGAAAGTTCTCCAGGTTACACAAAGAACCATTTGGAATGTAGATTCTTTGAATAGGGTGATTGCTAAATGCATGCTCGACTATGCGCTGAATGCCGTTTGATAAATCTTTTGTATTCCCTCCAGGTCCTTGCAAAGAGACATATAGACATGGTGACTGCACAGGCCTGGTTATTGAAAAGTGAAGAGCTGGAGGAGAAGGTTTGTCTATTATGTATGTTTGTGGGTATAGAATTTCTTTTTGAAGAAGAAACTGAAAAACTGAAAATGGAAAATACAAGGAGACCAGTTTATATCAAGATATCAATTTCAAACAATGCCACACTGGTTTCATGCACTAACGTTTTTGTATCTTTTGTATTTCAAATAATGTCATACTAAGAGTTGCAGGATAGGAGGGCTGAGAGTGCAGGACTGAATAATGTTTTGGAAAAAACGTGTCTGCCATCTAACTGTGATATATTGTTAATGTTAAAACAAAAACTTGATTTTTGGTTATTCCTTTTGGACCATAAATGAAAACAGTCTATATTTTAGTTCCTAGATTCGAAAAATGTTTACAAATTGATCCATATTGATTGCTAAAGTTATAACAGTATTAGATTTTGCTATGTTGACAAACTTTTGTCCCTAATGATGATAACTTGGAACCAAATTCGAAAATATTGATTTTTTGTTTTGTTTTGCTGTACCCCTCATCAATTAAAAATGGCTACTGTTGTCTAATAGGTTACAAAAATGAGCATTCAAAATAAAGTTCCGTCAGAGTATACCTGCATGAGCTTGGTTCTTGTACAAAGCGAAGAAGGGAAGAAAGAATCAGAACAATTTCTGTTACAAAAGGTAGACTTTGCATTGGAATCAACTAATATAAGGACAAATTTTACCTTCATCTTGTTCGCAAAATATCAGAATAGTTCCATTTACCCTTTGCGCCATCTATCTGAATCTCTAAGTTCCTAATAAACAGGCATACAGCAAACTTAGCTTCCAGAGGGTGGAGTTGAACAACCAGAAGTTATTCCTTGGCGGACTGAGTCTTGGATTTGGTGACTGGAAGGCAACTGCTGAGAATATGCCACCAGCTATAAAGGAAGCAAAACCACCTGAAGGACTACTGGGGAAGGCTACTTCCAACTGTTGTGGTCGATTGGCTGATACCTGTTGTGGCATGTGTCTGCTGCAGACTTGCACTTTTGTGAATGACCGGTGCACCATTGTTTGCACTCAACTTTGTGCAGCCCTGGCCTGTTTTGAGTTAATCAAATGCTGTGTTGAGCTCTGCGAGTGTGATTGTTTGTAGTGAAATCATATATATATATATATATGCTAAGTCAAGCATAGAGAAACTGTTTAATATTACAAATTGTTAGCATTGTATATATGTATTATATGAGCTCTTCTGCTATGAATAAAATGTTTACAGCTTATAAATCAAAGGAAGGGAAATTGTGTAAACTTCTTAGTTCTTTCCTAATCAACGAATGGAAAGAATCATGTGTTTGATTACATTTTTATTTTCAGTTAAGTTATTATATGAATTAAGTAACTATTATGAACCGTAGATGTTAGTTTTGATTATATAATTTGTTAAGTCAACTTCATTACCTTTAAAAGTAATATTTTAATTTAACATAAATACTTAATAATCAGAGTAAATGATTTTAAATTTAAAAAATTATACGGAATACTTGTACAGAAATAAAATTACACCACTACAATTTTTTACTAAAAATCATATAGTTTAATATTTATTTTCTTCAAAATTCACTGTAAAATTAATCGTATATATAAAATACTAAAATGATTTAAGAATCAAAATTAACTTAAATGTAATTTTCAAAATATAATTAAATATAGATAATTTGATCACCTTATTATAATTTTAATATTTAAAATGAATAATGATGGTAATGAAATTATAATTTTTAATATTAATGATTTTATATTTAATAATATTTAAACTGGTATAATTTCATATTTTATATATGCATATGGATTGTTGTTAGAATTAGATATCTACAATCGATTATAATTGTATATTTAACCCAATTATTTTCTGGGTTTAATACATCAATGGAAGTAGCTTTCATATCGAGCATTAAAATGAAGCTATCCTAAATATTATTTTTTTAATGATCTTAAATTGCTAAAAAGTTATTTATATTCAAAATAAGGATTTCTTCTGCTTTTTAATATGAGATTCCTAAAGATTTTTGTTTCAATTCATTTTTTAAATTCTAAAATAAATTTGATTAATTATGCTCTGACTTTTTCATTTTATTTTTAATTAACTTACATTTGTATTTAGTTCAACTTTAAAACAAAAATAGACAAAATAAATCCGTGGTAACTGTTTTATTAAAATTAAAAATTTTATCGGTTACTGTTAAAATAAATTTACAGGTAATAAAATTTTTTTCTTTCTCCTAAAATTGTTTCTAATCAAACTGAATTAGTTTTCCATGTAAGTAAACCATGTTTCTTTGAGTGGGTACCCAACACAAAACCTCTGTTGCCTCTGCAGCAAGGATTTCTCTACAGCATAAATCTTAATCATTGATAATATTCTTCTCTGTTGTTATGGATGATGGGATTCAAAACCATTAGAAGTATGGAAAACTCCATAACTATTCTCCCCTCTCCCAATAGATTGTAATTTTCCTCATTGTTGCTGCTTCTTTCAGCTTCATTCTGAAAATGAGAACCCCTTTTGTCGGATTCAGCAGTATACTAGTGCTTCTTGTTTTCGTCTCTGCTTCCTGGTAAGCTGCGACTTCAGTACTAGGCCCTAGGGTTTCAAATAATTTGAATTGGGTAACCATGGGGAAATGAGAAATACAGCATTGGATTTCCTTCGTCTAATTGTAATGAACATCACATTTTTTATGTTGAATATCCTTTTCTTCTCATATCTATAATTTAAACTTTTTGGTCACTGAATTTAGGAAAGGAATAACTGTGCATGTTTTTTATTTTCTTGGTTCGGGTAAATTAATAATTCTGAAATTCTTTTTCCCCCTTCTGCTTAGTTTATATTATATAATAGCTTTCAGAAATTTATATAGTAATGTTTATCACATTTTAGTTCATCCTGATGACGGAGAGTTATGCATGTTTTTGTATATATCAAATTGTTGATGTTTTATATGTGCATTGCGCGAAGAAAGGCTCATAAGGGCTGGCCAGGTGAAAGGCTAGCTGGTTTGGATTTTTGATGTACCTAAAAGTGGAAAAGTGATGAAAAATAAACTCACTTTGTGATCTTTTTCAAAATTGCAGTTTTTCTACCCATGGAAGTTTGGAAATGGAGAGAACTTTGGCGATTATAAAACCAGACGGATTAATCGGTAACTACACTGATGATATCAAGAGAACAATTGTAGAATATGGTTTCAGCATTTTTAAGGAAAAGATTGTTCAACTTGATCAAGCCACTGTAGAAAAGTTTTATGCTGAGCACTCTTCAAAATGTTTCTTTTCCAGGTTTATAAAATACATGACAAGGTATGAGGTATCTCATTCCCATGAAAGTCTTGATGTATGACGATGGTATATTATGTTTCCTGAGCTGTTATGTCCACCTCACTATACTGATGTTTGTTGTGTTACCTAAATTGCAAGACCCACTTTTACTTAGTTTTATATGCTTGTTAATGTTAAAATTACTTTAATGTTAGGGTTCAATGATATTTATTTCAACAATTTTCCTTTATCTCTGTAATCTTTATTCATTAAACCATTTCTTGCACTAGTTGAAGATGAAAGCCAAATTCAGTTAAGTTTATTCATTATATAGATCATTTTGAACTTAAGCGCATCAGAAGAAATGAAGCATATACACTCGATGGTTTAACTTGTATTGATCGTGTACTTGTGTTTGAGGAAATTCTTGATATTACTGTGGCCTTCAATGGTTCATTGTAATAATTTTTGCATTAACTTCCCTTGCTGCGTGCTTTCTAGTCTTTTTTTTAACCTATAAACCTTTTCTTCTGCTTCTCTGAAACAATTATCAGTGGACCAGTGTTGGTTATGGTCTTGGAGAAGGATAACGCTATTGCTGATTGGCGTGCTTTAATGGGCCCTACTGATGCAAGCAAAGCTAAGATTACTCACCCTCACAGGTCATATAATGTTACTAATCTTATTACATCACAAATATGAACTCTATAACTCGTTCAATTTTTGTCAAGTTGAGGAGTTTTATTGAGCTTGATGAACATGATATCTGTTAATTTGCTTTATAGTGAAAATAGTTATTATTTTGTGCAGCATCAGAGCAAAATGCGGATTGGATATAGAAAGGAATTGTGTTCATGGTTCAGACTCTCCTAAATCTGCACAAAGAGAGATTCCATTTTTCTTTCAGGAGCTGTCCGCAGGTCAATAATTTTAATTCTATTTTCAAGCAAAAATAAATAAAGTATTTCTTTAGACACTAGATTTGCTCTATAATCACATAAATTTTTGAATATACAGCAGTGGACTACTTAATGGCACATAG